TCACAAGAATAACCTAGGGCTCTGATACCAACTTTGTCACGACCCAATTAAGGATCATGACCGACGCTTAGGAGTAAATGCCCCCAAGTAAGCCTCATCGATATTTTATAAAAAATCGGACAGCGTTTCCCATATTTTAGGACTATCACAAATTACCTGTCTCAAAAAGCAACAACAAAACCAATCAATATCTAACAAAACAACTCATATTCGTCATCGACTACCCAGTCAGATCTCCATCACTATTAAACAATCACTTGTAAGACCGTGATGCTAAATCTATCTCCAAAATACGATAAAAAAGTTTGATCTAGTAAACAAGTCGAGAATGATAATTAATTCACATGACACTATTAAAATGACTATGGAGCGACTCTAATAGTTTTAAAGAAAAGACTATAACAATAAATAAAATCTACGCCCACGCGAACAAGTGCGAGGCTCATCAAGACCTATCAACATGTGCGCTCTAATTAACGAAATCTTCGCCCGCGTCAACTGTTGTCTCTGTAAAAAAATTAGCGGGGAATGAGTCGTTAGCTCAGTGAGTAATAACACTAAACAACAACCGTTTTTATTGGGGACAAGTCAGAAAACATGCTAGTATCTCAAACGGAAAATAACATAAAAATGTCATTTCAGAAACAATAAATAATTCTCAATCTCATTATACTTTTCTTGTAGTACAATAATATTAAGAATTCAGTAATAAGTTCGGTAACCACTGTATAATATCAGTATTCACATTTGGGAGGTTTCAATGAATGGATCATATAATCGGTATAACTGTGGACTTCTTCGCAAGAAGTCAAATATAACGGTAGTCCCTACTCGAGGGAAAACGGTAACGATATGCTAGTTCTACCTTCCCACTAGTGAGAGCTATAACTGTACTCTGTAATCGGTAAATACAAGGTGCACCAGGTCTAACGAACCCGCCGTTAGCTACGGGATCCTTTAAAGTCTCCTCCCATTTATACTTTTTCTTGCCAGTAAATATTCATAAGAAAGCATTTTCAAAATCACAAAGGGCATATAAATTCTTACCAAATCATGTAAATCCATTTCGGTAATGGTAACTATATCTCAAGTAACAGTAAAACATGTTTAGTATTAGTGAGAATATTTTAAATAACGATAAGCATCTCCAGTAAATTGTTCAGTACCATATCAAGTAAAGGACTTGTCCCACATGCAATTTCAAACATTCAGTAACATATTTTATTTTCAAAATAACATATAAACCATGTAGGTTATGAAAATACAAATTGTGTTAAGATTACTACTCACAGTTATCGTGCGAAATATCAAACTCGTCACCTCGAACGATTTGTACGATTTTCTTCAATCAATCTATAACCACATCAACATTGATCTCGTGTTAATTGCTTCATTTATGCTAAATTCATCACTAATTTAGGATACCCAATCCTCCGAATTTTATATTTTATCATCAATTCGCCAAATTATATTTACCCATGCTAAGTGTAATTCAACTGGTCCATAATCTATCAATTTCAACTTGTATAATTTGTTCTTTCAATTCTTTTCACACCGGATGATGCCTAATATGTGTATAAGCCTAAACCATAAAGGATCACTGTTGACAATACTTCTTTTAGTACCTAATAAAATTATATACACCCAGATAATAAGCTTAAGCAAACTGTAAGTAAGAAAGTTTACCATATGAGTTGAAAAATTGCTTCAACAAATTGTCTTTGCTTCTCTGTTTCACGCAAGAAGATTTCAGCACCAAAAGAATACTTTACAAATCCTTGTTCTATCCTTCCCGCCTCAATTCTAGTGAATATCCCCATCTTTTAAACTTCAGTATTTCAATTTTTAGTGTATTTGGGACCTTTGTTTATAGCTTTGGTTTCGGGATAAGCTCTTTGTGCGGCAGAAGTTTGCTATCATGTATTTAGGTTTTTTTCCCCTTTTTCACTTCTTATTAGATTAGTTACAGTGGGATTTTAGCCCAAATATCTTTTTTTTTGTATGCTAATGACTAATATAGCCAAACATAAATATGGGCTATTACAACGTACGCGTAACTCAATTCTTTAACTACGAATAATCAAGTGATTTAAAACGGTAAAGGGAAAATGCACATAGGATCTAAAATCAGTAATTAAATAATTTTAATAAGCCAAGTATGATCAAAGCGACCGTGTTAGAACCACGGAACTCGGGAATACCTAATACCTTCTCCCGGGTTAACAGAATTCCTTACCCTGATTTCTGTGTTCGCGGACCGATAATAGAGTCAAACTTCCTCGATTCGGGATTTTAAACCGGTGACTTGGGACACCCTAAATTATCCTAAGTGGCGACTCTGATTTTTAATAAATAAACGATCCCGTTTCGATTGTCCTTTAATTGGAAAAACTCCTTTATATTTATGCCATTTACCGGGTGTGGGTAAAAGGAGGTGTGACAGCGGGGACGTGCGGCTTGAGTCACAGGTCATCCCCAAGAGTGATAGCTTCAAGTACCTTGGGTCGGTGATTCAGGGGGGACGGAGAGATCGACGAGGATGTCACTCACCGCATAGGGGCGGGCTGGATGAAATGGAGGCTTGCATCTGGAGTCTTGTGTGACAAGAAAGTGCCACCGATACTCAAAGGTAAGTTTTATAGAGTTGTGGCTAGACCGGCAATGTTGTATGGGGCAGAGTGTTGGCCGGTTAAGAACTCCCATATCTAGAGGTTGAAAGTAGCAGAGATGCGTATGCTGAGGTGGATGTGCGGGCACACTAGGTTAGACAAGATCAGGAATGAAGATATTGGGAGAAAGGTGGGCGTCGCCCCTGTGGATGACAAGATGCGGGAAGCGAGGCTTAGATGGTTTGGGTACGTACAGAGGAGAAACATCGATGCTCCGGTGAGGAGGTGTGAGCGGTTGGCCGTGGTGGGCACGAGAAGAGGTAGAGGGAGACCTAAGAAGTATTGGGGAGAGGTGATCAGGCAGGACATGGTTCGTCTGCAGATTTCCAAGGACATGGCCCTTGATAGGAAGGCCTGGAGGACTAGCATTAGAGTTGTAGGATAGGGGTAGTGGAGCTTTCCTTACTGCATGCCGGGGGTAAGGCGGGGTTGGATTAGGGTTGATCTTAGATGGTTTGCAGTTTATGTTGAACCCACACTATTCTTGTTGTTTATCTTAGATTCCTTAGACTCTGGTTACTGTTATTGCAAGTCATTCATCTTTTGATTTTTATGCTTCTGTTACTATAATGGTTTTTACTGGAGTTACTAATGAATTCTCTTTTCTTTTCTTGTTTTTCTTTATTTTCGTCGTTCTGAGCCGAGGGTCTATCGGAAACAACCTCTCTGTCCTACCGGGGCAGGGGTAAGGTCTGTGTACACATTACCCTCCCCAGACCCCACTATGTGAAATTTTACTGGGTAGTTATTGTTGATTTGAAGGGTTTTTCACGTTAAAGTTTTGTGTTCTTTATCTTCTTTATTTTCGGGTGTCGCTTCCTCGACATAACACTGACACTGTAAATAACTTACCGAATTTCACACTGACACCATTCATCTCTACCTTACAAGACAAAGGTAAAAAGCCAAGATTCCTTCGGCTTTAAAGACAAGTTGGTTGGAAGACAAGTTATGTTGGGATTAATTATACTGAAATTAGTCATGCTTGGATTAGCTATTTTTATATTATTTGGAAGACAAGTTATGTTGAAATTAATTATACTGAAATTAGTTATGCTTGAATTAACTATCATGATAATATTTCTTATTGACGGTTAGATATATTGTATTAATTAATCCTTGGATTGTCAACTTTACTATTTTATCCTAAAATAACTTATCCAGGATTACTAACCAAACAAGAGGTAAAGTTACCCAAGATTACTAAACAAATGAGAAATAAAGTAGTAGTGATAAATTTTTATCCCAGAATTATTTTTGGTTATCCATCTTAGCATACAACTCCTTAGCATCTTAATTTAGACGCAAAAAGCAAGAAAATCAATAACAAATAGGACAGTATCTAATATCCCAAGATTACTAACCAAACAAGGGGTAAAGTTACCCAAGATTACTAACCAAATAAGAAATAAAGTAGTAGTGATAATTTTTTATCCCAGAATTATTTTTGGTTATCCATCCTAGCATACGACTCCTTAGCATCTTAATTTAGACGCAAAAAGCAAGAAAATCAATAACAAATAGGACAGTGTCTAATACAGAAGGGGAAGGGTAGCGCGAGTAGTCATTGGTGACAATATTTGAATAAAAAATAGTACAGCCTATCTCTACTTTCCAGATATACAAATTGGGAAAAATCTAAAAAGAAGAGTGGCCCTTCTACACTACTGCAGTTACTACTAATAAACAACAGCGCATTCCCCTTAAAGGGAATCCAGTTCCAATTTTTTGATGCAACAAGGGGGAAAAAAAGAAAATCACAAAAAAAAAAAAAAAAGTGGAAGAAGCGTCCACACGATTCCCCCCTAATGACCCAGAAACTCTAATCAATTAGAATCATTCATGCAAATTATATTGCCGTGGCATAATGCTCAACTGTCCCTTATATTCCTTTCAACCTTTTTTCAATCATTCACTGCCATCCATTCTTGTTTCTTTAAACCCTCAAGTATACAAAGCTTGTAAACAAAAGGGCCATTGTGCAAAAGATACTGCTGCTTTGATGAAGAGTAGTAGTTCCCGCGGAGGTGTCGGTCATGCCACTTCCTGTTGGTCCAAGTCCAAAAACTGGATTAGTCCCTGTTGTGGTTGTGCCTGTTCCAGTGCCCATTCCTGTGCCAGTCCCGGTGCTGGTGCTGGTGCCGGTGCCACCTGTTGATGGATTTGTGGTTCCTGTTGTTGGAGTTGTGCTTCCACCACTGTTATTGACAACCAGAAACAAAAGGATATCAAGAAACAACAAAAATAGGCATTCCAACCAATTAACCGATATAAAATACTACCTCAAGTTCATATTTTCTTTATTTTAAGATTTTTGCACACCCTTTAAGAGTACTTGTCTACACTACCCTTTACTCTCTTTAAATATGTCATTTAATTAACACTCAGACTAATTAAGCCCGTCAGGGAGTAGTTTTTAGAAAGAATAAAAAGTACTAGTAGTAATGATTTCTTGTTTTTAATATTTTGAAATACTAATTAAAAAAAAAAGTAGTAGTGCTAGTTAGGCTTGCAAAACAACTAATATTTGGTACTCCATATAAGAAGTTACAGGAACCGAATTTGAGAAGGCAAGTTGCATGATACAATTTAAATGAAGGACCTAACATGATTTAAATATGTTAAATGATGGTAGATACACACCTGAAATTTTCATTATAGCAAAAGAGAAAGGTACACCCTACTCATTGAACATTAATAGACAGATGATATCAACATCGAGACAGCTCACATGCGCATATATTGAAAGAAACAAACACTCAACAAATGAAGATTTGATAGTGACAGTACACTAACAATGGCTATTGGAAGATTATGGTGAAGTAGAAACAGTACCAGCAATCTTATAATTACACAACAATATACCATTGTGTCATAATCAAGTTACACTTTTGCATTTAGGCATGAATAATTGCAACCTTTTCTTATTTATAAACTTTTTCACACCCAAAGACACAGTTTTAACTTCCATTACCAACCCCTTACCTTCAAAAACCTACAATTTGTAATTAACACAAATTTGACATCATCAGGTCACCAATTTTATATTTAAGATTACAAATCTTGCAACTTAAGGTGGTGTATATAACTCACACTAATAAAAAAGAACCTTTTTCTTCCTTTTTTCAAGACTCAAGAGGATGAGAATGAGCTTTAAGTTGAAGCTATTATCATACAGCCAGGAGCAACAGTTAGAACTCTTTTCTTTATTTTAAAGATAAAACTTTTTGGCGGAATCTAAATAAAGTCTAAAAAAGCCAAATAGAAAAAATGTATAAAAAAAGAGAGGCTTTGAAATGGAAATATTAGCAAGATTTCTACATTGAAGAGATGCTTATGCAATGCCAGATCTAACATAAAATATGTCATAAGCTTAGAAAACATACCCAGCAGTGGACTGATATACACATCCAGAAGTGGCTGATGATTCAAAAAACAAAACAAAACAAAAAAGTTAATAAATCTTTAAAGAAACAAAATAAAGGATTAGTGAGTTATGAGTGAAGAGAAAAAGTTAAAACTTACAAGATGGTGCATTTGAGCTCAAAGTTGCAGTACCCTTGAAGTCACAGCTAGCACCAGACCCACCCTTTCTCTGATAATAGCTATTTACAGCATAGCTGCAGTGATCTTTGATAGTATCAGGGTTGTAACAAGCACCACCTTGATGTATAGCAGTACAATCAGCTCCAGATCCACACGCATAATCTATGTTCTCCTGCAGAATCTTTTCATCTACCCCATCCTTGCAAACACAGTATGAAGCACCTACAACAACAAAATTTAACAAAAATCAGCCCAAAAAAGCAAAAAGACTGAATCTTTAAACAAAACCCATCTCAAGAAAAATATGAAAAATGCAGAAAACTTGAGGGCAGAGTAAAAAGTGGCAGCTTACTTGAGTGACCAGTGATAGCCAAGAAAAATACCAAAGACAACATAAAAGCAGCCATGATTTGATTTGTTACAAGATCTTGAAGCAATAATGAAGAGATTACACACAATAGTCCCTTTACTTTTTTCAATAAGAGGTGAGAGAGGAAACAGAGTTTTCTAGAGAAATAAAATGAGAGTGACGGTGGAGAGAGTGGCTACTGTTCTGAATGAAAGTATACAGGAGCTAAATGTCTGTTTTGGTAGTTTTTATATAGTACGTATGAATAAGTGTAACACTGTACAGTATTTTCATAATGTGTTTGTTAAGAATGGGAGACAGTGTTTTAGGAAATTGAGCAGTAAAGCAAAAGCCTTTTGTCATGTAATTGACAGTACCTGTACTTGTGTACATGTGTGCCTCATTGCCTTTCAAACGGTCCTAAACTCATCTTCATGGTCAAAATCTAACTCAACTCTGGTTAAACTTACTGAAAAATGAAAATGAAAATTCTAGGGTTTCCAGTCTTATTGCTGAAGAGGCCCCATGATTGTTTATTTCAGCACACTTTTTCTGGTGTGCTGTCACTCTAAGTTTGCATTATGGTGTCCCTTTGAATTCAATGGAGGTATCATAAAAACTTCAACAGATTCTTCCCACGAGTATTATATAATTACGGCAAAAAAGTTCTAGTTATGATTTGAATATGTTCAAATAGAATTTAAGGTTTCATTAATTAACTAATGATATAATAAAGGTTTCTATAATGAAATGATATAACTTAAGCGATCTAAAATCACGTGAAATTTTTTCTTAATAACTGCGCAAACTTAACAAAAAATGAAACACACTACAAAAATATATATATAAGCGACACCATTTAGCTAATATACATTACTTTAAGACTAACCAAGGGCAGCCCAATGAATTTTACGGTATAAAGTCAAACTTTACGAATGATCTTAATTTTTTAAATATATATATA